AATTCATTTGTCCATTCACGTTGTAAAAGTAATCGTTTCAAATAACCGCTTAACATATCTTTTCGATAGATGATTTGTGCTGAATCTAATGAAAGATTTTCATTTTTTATTGAAGATCCATCAAAAACATCATTCTGTATAATAAAATAATCTTTCGTTATATCATATTGAAATAATTTTCTATAAACTGAATCAGAAATAACTGGAATAACTGAAATTGCTGATGATGCAAATATATTTAATGCTGATATATCTTCTGTTGTAAAATGAATAAATTTTGAAAAATAATCAAAACGATACTTAATATCGACATGTAATCGATCATTGTCTATATGTTCTGTCATTATAATTACTAAATATTTTTTCTTTTTGTCTTCTAAATTAATCGAAATAAAATAGAGATATATTTTACGTTTTATACTCGTCTAGATATTGTGTTTTGTCAGTGTGAGTAAAGATGAGTGAACAGAAAAAGAAATGACAGAATAAATGCTATCTCTTTTTTTTTTGTCTTCTCTTCATTCTGTCGGTAAACAAGACTACGTTGAATACTGATTTCTGTGAACATAGAAATGCGGTTTTATCATAATAAAATTTTTTTTTTTTATAAAGAAAAATTTGTCAGTTGAGCCTCTAGTCAGTTGAAATGCGATGTTCACTTGTCCTTCTCAATTTCCTTATTGTAACATATAAAAAATCTAATTCAAAGTATATCTACTATATGAAACTTCATTACCAAAAAATGTATCATTGCCAGAGAAACTCTATTCTTTATTTCGGATATACATTTCTTTTGTCTTATTGAGTTATTATGATTGAACACAAATCAAATAATAATAATAAAATTCGAATGAACATTAAATATAACCAAAGATAATCAAGGATGCATCCGATTTATTAAACATAAACAACTATTTTCCAGAATTTACTATTCAAACTCTAACGCACTACACTACTATGAGTTTTTGCAAGGATGTCTTGCTCATAATCTAGAAAATAAAACGAACTCTGAAGAGCTATCTGGTGTTTTGCATTATTTTATATGGGAAAACTGTTAAAAACAGGATTCTGCATGTATGAAAATAATTCTACCTCGCTGCAGAAAAAAATCTTTTTTCGTTGAAACGACCCGTTTTAAAGAGATTCTGTCTTCGAGTACAACACAAAACTTTGAAAAGTTCAGCATTGCTACTTTATTTTGTAAAGATGTCTGAATCTTTTATATCCATAACTATATTTCAGATGCTAATACACCTTCAAACACGAACATCCGATTTATAGTTAGCAAGACTCTAGCTCACATTCACTTAATCGTACAATAATTTTCAAAGGTCTTTATCTTGTATATTTTCATGAATCCTCGAAAAATTTGTCATCGACAATGGAAACTAGTGAATATGACTTCGATGATTACTTAAGGCTTTGAAAAGTTCTAGAAACTTCTAACCATATTTTTGTTGTTCGCTTACTGCTTCGTTTGTGTTGCCCAACTGTTTCCTATTCGTGCTGCTAGAACAGAAGGAAGGAAGAGGGCTAGAAGAGAAAAAGCGCATGCACATTGATGTTTGAGTTCAATGGCTACAGGAAATAGACAGTCAGAAAAACTTTGACTTAACCTAATATTCATTCATTTCCATCAAGAAACATATATGACTTTGACATAACTGATAAATTCCCTTGAGTAAAAAGAAAAAGGAAACATTTCCTATTTTCACAAAAAGAAAAAGAATCTTTCTTTATCTGAAAGAAAAAACAAACACAATAATAGTAATTAGATTTTCCAATAGTGTTAACAATACTATAAGAACTATTCTATTCAAATTACGCTGTTGTTTTTTGTTTCAACAACTCTATTGATTAGTTCTTTCTTGCTCAAGAACAAATTTGAAGATTCAAAATTAAAACTGTCTCAGAAATATACACTTAATAGCCTTTAATATATACAAAAAAGATTTGAATAAGATCTGTCCAGAGCCAATATATTTAACAATGAGCACTGTTATTTTAAAGAAGTCGATATAGGTAGAATTCCTCATAACGTATACGGGGTTGTTTCGCGCGGGAGATTCAGAGAAGAAACTGATATGACTCTTCAAGACTAGGAAAGAATGATTTTCTTTCAGCATAAGTGATGAGAAGTTTTTACTTTGATTGAAAAATCTCATTCCATTTGTGACCAATGTCGTATCGATCTCTATGACATTGATCTATTTGGCACATATTGAAGTGTATACATCTGAATGATTGCAAACATTGTTCGGTAGATAAATTGGATTGTTGTCTTCAATTTAAAATTAAATAATCTTTTATTTTATATAATATAAGCACTTCTATATGTTTGGATAGCACAAGCAAATGAAATTTTTAAATAAGAATTGATATTTGTAGATACCCATAGAAAGAATGATTCAAATTACTTTCACTTTTTTCACTAATAAGATATTTCATTATATTTAACAAGCAAATCTTGTGAAAATAAGGCATTTTAATTAATTAATTTGAATATCTGCTGAGCAAAAAACGAAAAATCTATTAAATTTGATTTTTGGATATTTTTTTTTATATTTCAAAATGAAGACAGATCAATATATGCGCATTTATGATAGCAATGTATACTAACAAGCTTTCAAGAATGTCTTATAATCAATAAAAAGAAGATCTAAGTAATAAGGCAAGCATAATATCAACATTTAAAGATGATTCTCATTTATTTTCAGTTATTATAAACATCATTTCATAGCAAATTGATCTTAAATAGAACAGTTAGATATTAAACAAAATGAAATAAACGTATAGATATATATATGTATTTAATGTTTAATCTATTTTATTAAAATATTATGAAAAAAAAACATTTAGTCTATTATATATTTATTATATCGTTAATAACTTAACAGATCTTCTCGAAATCAATTGATTACTATAAATATTTTATTCTAATTTTTCTCGTACTAGAGAGATCTCCTTCTGGCATCCAACTCTATTCAAGAAAATTTTAGCTGAAGTAAAAATAGTACTCTTATACATGTTTTTCAACTAACTTCTTATGTAAAGATAAGTATTTGTCAAAATTGGATATGTCATTTGTGATGTTCATTGTAACTACGATCATGGTATTTTTACTAAAGTTATTGTATATGACTAATTACTTAGAATTTCTCGAAAATATCAACATTTTTTAGTTAAATGTTCTCAAGTGAGAAATGAAAGAAAAGAAAAAAACAAAATTTTAAGATTTTAAAATAGAACAGAGTATAAAAACTTGAGCAAAGAAAGATAATGAAAAATCAATTTCATTTCTATGTAATATATTCCTTGAATGATAATAAATGACAAACCAACTTTTCTTCCTCTTGATTATAAATGTACTGAACCTTTACTCTTATATATATATATATATATCTTATGAAATATGATCTAAAAGGAGTATTGAAATATATAAGATAAAAACTTCAAACTCACTTTCACCGCTTTCCCTTCACACACCGTGACAAACATTTTAATTAATATATCATTAAAATTCCATTAAGCGCTAATTAATGACTATTTAACAATTAATTAATTGCTAATTAATCGCGAATTAATTCCATCACAGACCGTGACCGACAGTATTAAAATCCATCGTAGACCGTGACAGACAGCTGGGAACCCCGTCACTCACGATGAATGACGTTGTTGATATACAATTAAATACCGTACATTAATAACGTCTTATTATAATAATGTGAACTATTTCCTGATTCCAATTCCAGAGGAATAAGTAGAAGGATGTTTTAGAAATGTTCTGCAAAATAGATAGATTAACACAATCTTCCTATGATTATTAAGAACAGCTACATTGTGTTTCACATTTTAATCCCACAGGAAGTGTGCTAACAGCTTTTTTTGTATATACTAACTTGTGATACATAATTATACAGTGAACGGAACTTGGATTAAAATAGAATAATTCTATTCAATAATAGACTTTTTCAAAAAGTATTTTGTCTTTGACTGAGATGAGATGTATAGCTGATCTGATGGCATGTGATGAAATGAATATCCCGTAATCTTGATATTGATTGTCTTCTTCCATAGAAAGATTTTTGCTTGCAACTATTTCAATAATGTCGAAGAACTAAAAAAACAAGAACTCTCATGTTTTCGACAAGTTATCAACAAAACTATGATAATTCTCCAAGGAATCAAGAATTGACGATTAGTACTCTCATACTTTTGTTATTCATAATAGCCAAATAGGTTTTATAAGCACGCATTCATCTTCACATATTTCTTGATTAATATGGAAGTGTAGACAAAAATACTGTAGATATTGGTTTTTTATTTTGACGATCATGGAACTGTCTGACATTGATGAACTATTTCTATTGGTCAGTTGTTGGACATAAATTTTACTCTCATGTATGAGAGAGACAAACAATGGTTTTTTTTTGTATAAATATTCAACTGGTTTAGTTTTATTCTTTTTCAAAAACAAAAACAAAAAAATCTTATATAGATTTTATTCAATATATCTTCTATACAGCCATAATTAATATAGCTTTATTTTTTTCATATATCAATAACCCGTATTCATTGCTCTATCATTAGTGAATAATTTATATAGATCTACATAGAAGCTAATCTAACGTTTTGCTTAACATTTGTGCGCAAGACAGATTTCTTTTTTTTCACAAAGCAAGTGATGTCTATAATCAACCACCATTTATGGTATAAATAAGATATCTGACTAATGATAATCAATTTGGAAAGAGTTAGATATCATCTATTTTGACCATAAAGATATTAGAAAAAGAATTTTGAATGCACTATGATACGAAAATCATCGATATTCTTTTGGAAAAAGTCGATATATTATTTATTCATTTATAAATAAAAAGCAAGTGCTATAAATTATTTTAGAAAAAAAGAAAAAAAAATGCTCAAATAAAAATAAAGAATAACATATAAAAATAAAAATTGATTGCAAGAATAATGAACATTTACGAAAATTGTGAAATTTATATTGATGGAACTTTTGTCGCTTCTTCCAATGGAAAACCTAATTGTTTCCACATTGATAATTTATCCCATTCTTTAATAAACCTAATTAATAGATCAAAAAACAAGTTTTGTTGCAAAAAAAAGAAAAATAACAAATGATTAACACTAACAACGTAATTTTTCCTTCATGATTTAATTTAAATAATGCAGCAGCTGTCCATTTAGCTTTTCGTCCTGTTGCTTGAATACCTATTCAGAATAAAAAAAAATATTTTTGAATAAATTAATTTAAATTAGTGAAACCTTTATAAGGTTGTCCACAATGACTTCCTTCAGCTGAATAACGTAATGCAACTTGATCATCTTTGGCGATCAAATAATTAATTTCAGTTATTCTTAAATCATTTATACTTTTCATTAATTCTAAATAAAAAGAATTCTTTTGACGAAAATAAAATTTTCATCATAATCATACTTCCATGTTCATCAGCATATGCTTGACAATTATGTATATCAGGAAATGTTGTTGGTGCAATAAATTTATTATCTGAAGCAACAAGATGAGCAACATTTTTTGATGATGAACGTTCAGGATCATAACTAAAATATTTCATTTTTATTTTTATTCATCGTCAAAATTAAATGAAATAAAAAAGAAAAAGATTATTATGAAAATTATAATTTGAATAAATATATTTCTACCTGATTTGCATATATTCTTTGACTACAAGAATATTTTTTTCTTCTTGTTCCGTCATTTTTAAGATTTAATTAAAAGACAATAATTTATTATGCATTATATAAACATTTATGTCCAATCATTCATATACATTGGCATTTTTATTAGTGACACCTATTGGAAAACGTATAGGTTTTTTCCTTATTAGACTAATGTGTAAGACATGTAAAAAGCCGTCATGATAATTTTCGGAACTTAGAAATGAGAAAGTTCTATTTTATATGATAAATGATCGATATATTTATATTAGTTGTATTTAATTGATAGATACAATCATTTCATATGATATATATTTAAAAAAGAAAACATTTTTATTTCATTGATTAAGAACTCATCAGCTTATGCGTTGATTTCAACAACGAAACGTTGATTATTGAAAAATGTTTTATTTTAAGCATTTATTATCTACGATGAATATTGATCCTAACTTTGTCCTTGAGCTACAAAAAAAAAAATGTTTATCGCGGGTATGTAGAAAGAAAAAGAAAGATGCAACTCAACTGCTACTAAAAAGAGCAATCAACCGTGAATAGATGCGAGCTGTAGTGTAGACAAGGATTGTTTTCCACGTGTGAAGACATATAAAGGTAGTGATTAGTCTCAAACGATATATTTTTCTTGTTTTTTGAAGTAAAAGTTATTTTGTTGTTTTCTAACGCATGATATTTCATTTAATAGATTATTTCTTGATTTTGATAGAATATTAAAAAAATTCAAGTTATGGTGGAACGTTTAATAATTCTTAAAAACAATAGTATCGATAGTGAAGATGGTAGAAGAAGCCCGCACACAGGCAGCCAAACATTGAATACAGACGAAGATGAACCATTATCAATCGGTGATTCTCGACGATTGCAAGAAAACTCGAAAGCAACAGAATCTGATCATTCAGTACAAACAGCTGAACGCAGACGAAATTTAGTAACAATAAGTTCTCTTTCAGTTGAGAGTGTAAATGATCGAGATGGCTCTGACAATCCACTATCAGAAAAAGCTAAAAAGAAAAAACGAGCTATGAGCCGACAAATGGTAATTCACTTTTTTCAACTACATATTTAATCAAAAAAAAAAAAGAAAAACGAAAAATACTTAAATTTATTTCTATAATATAATTTTAAATTAATTTTAGAGCGAAACTGATTTCAAAAAATTTATTGCGAAAAAACGTCCATGGTATACGAAAGTCGATTTTACAAAACCACTTATGTATTTAGGGATTTTGTTTTTAATTTTTATAATATGGATTAAACGCGATGTTTTGATAACTCGATTATTAACATCAAATGCTCGTGTTAGACATACGGCAGTTACAATTGAACAAAGACATGAAAATGATGATTCATCTCAAGCATCAACATTGAAAGATTCTTCATCAGCACTTTCTACTCAAGATACTACTACTGCTGTTAACAATAATGATGATAATAAAAATGATAATAAAAATGATAAAAATGATATTAATGATAATGATATAAGCAATGATCAAACATCATTAACAGACAATGATGAAGATTTTCCAAGAACAACTAATAAAGGAAGTGGTTCACAAAAAATCAATTTACGAACTCGACGAACTAAAGTGAGTTTTACCAAAGAACGTCCAAAAAAGAAACGTCGTCATTTACGAAATCAAGCTATCGATGATGATGATGATGATGATGATGATAATGTCAATGATGATCTAGTCGACGATGATGTTTTAGAAGACGAAATTGATACACCTACAATTAAATCAAACAAAATAAAAGAACCTATTTTACCATCGTCTATTCGTACATCAAAAAAACATCAACATCAGAAACGTCGTCGATCTACTACATCTCATGTAGATAGTCCAAAAACTGCAATCATTTCAACGCCTAATATTATTTTACCATTATTCCATGATGTTGTTGAACAAATGCAAAAAATTCTTAAAGCTCAAGGTGGACGTCGAGATCTGACAAAAATATTAAAAAAAGAAACTAAATTAAGTCAACCACAAATAAATCGACTCGTTCTGAAAAAAGATTTTAGTGTTATTACACTTGATACTTTTATTGATCTTTTAAATTCATTGGGTGCAACAATTTTACTTGTATCGAAATAAACTTTTTTCCTTTAAAAAAAAACTAACAATAAATATGTAGACGAAATATTACTCTCAAATAGAATTAAACTGATCAATTTCTTTTGAAGAAAGACGTATTTATCTACGACGTCATATTGACTATCATTGCTTAATAATGATGTAATGACGAAATGAGAGAAAAAAAAAACAAAGATAATCTTACACTATTTTATTTCATTTTTATTAGTAATGTCACTGAGTATAATTAATTCTTCTTGTTCTGAGTCTACTGGAACAAGTCATTGGGATAACATATTTTCATTTTTTATTAATTGAAATAACCGATCAGATAAGATGTTTTAATGATGTTATCAAATATCACTTTCTTTTATTGCATGATTCGAGAAGCAATTTATTATAAACAAATAAAAACAAACGCAAAAATCTGCTCTCTTTCAAACGTAAAAATGATGTTCTGATCGTAATTAACAAGATGTCGCTATGTTTTTTTTTCGAACATCTATATAATATTATGATGATTTCCAATAGTATGGTTGAACATTTACTATAACAAGAAAATTTATTTATTTTTCATATCTTTCAATTATTCAAGGAATACAGAATAAAATGATGATGATGATAATAAGCTGCTTTGTTTTGTCTTTCCTAGCTGAATGTAAACTTCATAGAATCTTTGATCTCATCTTAATCTTTTATTCGTGGTATAGTTTACTTTGTTTGATTGCTGTATTATTGTAATAGAAGAAATAAACTTCATTGCCTTGAAGGGACCAAAAGAGAAGATGCAAGATTGTTTGTTTTTTTGAAAATAATAAAAGAATTATTCTATAATAAAGTTAATGAAAAACATTTCTTCTGTTTAGTGATTCCAAAATTGCTTTTATCAAGTGCACATCCAGGTGCAAAAAGTCTTGATGAACATCGATGTATAATACGTGCTATTTATGATTGTGGTATTGAAGTATTCGTTAATCTTATGCGACCAATAGATCTTACTCATTTTACTCCATACGAACCAGAAATTCGACAATATGCTATTCTAAGATTGTTTATTTTTTAATTTAAAATTTTAATGTAAAAATATTCTTTATTTTATATAAATAGATGGTAGAAAAGTTGAATTTCTTTCATTTCCAATTCCTAATCAATCTTTTTGTTGAGATAATAAAAAAGTATTAGAATTTTTTCTCAAATTTATCTACGAGACTTAAAGAAGATTATCAAAAGATTCTTATTCATTGTTAGTTAAAAACTTTCCTTAAGTTTTCTTTTTTCTTTTTTTGGAAATAATATATGAATTAATATAATAGGGGTGGCCATGGAAGAACTGATACAATCATATCTATTCTTATCGGTATGTTATTTCAATTAGAAGGTATGAATTTAAGTACATTTTCTTTTTTAAATAACCAATTAATTAAATAGCAGATGATGCTTTGCATTATAATCATCAATTACAAAAACAACGTTTGAGAACCAAAGGAAGAACAACTTCACTTACGTCTTGTATGTTTAATTAAAAAACTTCTTTGTTTTTTTTTACAATATTCTATTCATAAATCAATGTCAACAAGTACGAAATATATTAAGAATGTACAAAGATTAACAAGCATCTTCAGTTGTTTTATTAATTGAAAAACAAACATTTGAATAATTATGGTTATTAATAAAGTTAAATAAAAATACATTACATTAAATTTAGTTCATAAATAATTTCAAAAAAAAAACCTATCATCAATTGATTTTGTTTAATTCCTAAGAAATATAATTCTATTTTATATATATTTTTTCAAGAAAGAAATCATTTCAAGCAATCTCTCAATAGATTTTATCTCTAACATAATTCATTATTATGTAAATTTGTCAAAGTTGCTTTAGGATATGATCATTTTAATATAACGTAAACATATTTAAGAATGAAGAAATCAGAAAATAGATTTACTCAATTATTTATGGAAAGTCAAAGATTCGTTAAATATTTATCCAATCTATTAATAAATAGTATTTACTGGTTCATAGAGCATATTAAAGTTGGCAAATCAGAACAGAAAAGTAAGAACTTTGATTCTATTATTTACCGTTACAGCATTGAAATCCAGTCTGTAACTTTCAACATCACTGATGTTTTATTTTATATTTCAAAACTTATAATTGCAATCCTAAAACCAGAATATTATTTCTCAAGATTTGTACTTATCAGAAATATGATCAATTTCTTATTTTCGTAAATACTTAAGTTTGATTCGATTTAGACCACTAACTCCAATGATTATTTGACTTCTTCTATAATAGGATAAAAATCTGAATGACTTAATATTTTATTATATCATACTGGAATCACTCTAACTATAACTTTAGCTTATTCTTTATTGAATATTTTTTCCTATATATGAAAAATGAACAACATTTATTTTTTATATTCTTGTTTTGGGATCTATTAAGTTCATTAAAGTATACATTTTATATCTTACATTAAGAAGTTTTTTTTATCAATGTATGCAACAAAAGAACTGAATATTTTTCTTTTTTATTTCGATTTGAGGAAGTTTCGATTTTTTTTACAAGCATATCTAAAAACATATCTAAAATAGAATTTTATGCCTCAAACATAGTGACAAGCTCACATTATAAAATAACATAATACTTAATTCCTTCGACAGCTTCATTTAATAATGAATTTTGAATAATTGATACAAGAAGAACAATACATGAATAAATAACCGTAAAATATGTAACATAAATCTAAATCATTTACACTACTCACTAAAAGTATGTTCCCCCTCGGCTCTTACTTCGCTAAATGTCTGAAAATTCTTCTGCAGGTAGTCTACAGGTAATATGGATCAGCGGTAACACCAGTGCTAAGCCGCTCAAGCTCAAACGTAATTATAATAGGTGACATTCACAGTCGTTGTGAATCTCGTCATTTGAGAAATGAAGGATTGGACGATTTAAAAAGCTTATCTGTTTTCGAGTGGTTTTGACAGTGATATTATCTCTGACCTACTTTATATGTGGACTACCTACAGAAGAATTTTCAAATATTTAGTTCTCATAAAGACTGAGACCTGAGGGTGAAGATACTTTTGACCAGTAGTATATATATATATATTCGAGCTTTTTATTAGGAACTAAACAACTGAAATTTGCCCGGAGTCCCTACAAGAAGTTAGTAACGAGACAACAAGAAGCTGAACTGAAATTTGAGTACAGTGCTGCGAAGACAATAAACAAATATGCACTATTGTTTTCTTTTTAAATCTGAACTCTTGGAATAAATTGAAAATATCTTAAAAATAATGCTCGAACTATAAATCACTAGAAATTTTCTTGAAAATTTTAAAAACAAGTAACGCTCATCTAACAATTCGCTTACCATTTTCTGAAAGAATAACAATACGATCTTAGAAAACACTGAATTGAATGCTCGTAATATTGCTTCTATGAAATATTCTCGTTCACTGCATACATCTAGACTAATTTCTTCATACTACATTAGCTGATGAAGTCTTATAATCAGCAACTGGAAATCAGTTGTTACTCAAGTGGGTGAATAATCTGCTTACTTTGAAATGATAATTCTAAATGATCGATGAAATTTTATCCATGACATTAGATATGGAAAAATCAAAAAATTTAGTATCTATATGAATTTAATCCATAGAAAAGTCCAAATACGTTTCTCTGAAGAATAGCATTTAGCAGTAGCAATGCCAGTTTTATACGATAGTATTTATTTCAGACAAATTCATTTAGTACATTTGATAATAATAATAATAATAATAATAAATCAAATAGCGTCGCAAATTACAGTGATCTCTAAGGAACTATTATCTGGCATTTAGCGTACTGTTGATTCCTCGTTCTTCAATAGGGTTTTGAGGCAAACGGACTTTAGATTAGAGTTCTTCATCCCTGAAGACCTTTACATCAGTTTTATAAAAAAAAAATTATTAGTTTGTCAAAAACAGCCTTCTCTGACCAGAAAAACCAAACATCAACATTGTCACAAACCACCAACTGATTCAGATTTCTCACTCTCGAAAACTTCCAGTCAAATTTTATGAAAGGTGTGGGTGCTAGTGTCGCTATGGCTGCTCGTCTGTGCGGATGTACAACTGTAAGTGGTTTGAAGAAGAGTAGATCCATCATCATGCTCACACTCACACCTACCCTCTCTCATAAACATGTTCAAAGAGTGTTTTTAGATAGTATTTTAAGTTGAAAAAATGCTTTGCAAAGAGAAATAATAGATGCATTTCAACGCAAAAATAGCGTTGTCATTAGCAGTAGAAATTAGCACTTAATGCTACAAATACCAAAGCAATTTGCCTTTCAATGCTCTGAACAATTGATTTTGAGTCGTATTATTTTTCTTCATGTTCAATTAACAGACAGAAATCTAGGAAAATAAAGAATTCATTCTCTTTGTTTCTTTCTCGTCTTAATAGCAAGTGATTAATAAAGAAAAAATAACGAACGAATAGATTAGTCAATGATAAATATAACTACATAATGCTTGACATCGAATTATATTATTAATCGATAAACGAACATAGTTATATTCAATAAAGTAATACAAATTAAATGAGAAAATAAATGTTGGTTAACTTCTGCAAAATAAATAGTGCAAGTATTAAACGATTTTTCTATATAGATTTCAAATAATTCACTATTAAATTTTGAAATATGTAAAACTAACTATTATTGAAAAGAAAATTATATTTCATTGTCAGTTCGAGTTTTATTAAAATCAAATCCTTGAAATCCAGAGAAACAAAATATTAGTTACAAACGTGAAGACAAAAAAAAACAAATATTTTCATTAATTCATAAATTATAAAGTAATTTGATGGCCATATTGTTTTTTTTAACAATCAAAAGATAAACAAAATAAGTTCAGTTCACGTTTTAGTTCAATGAAAATGAACAAAATTAATAAAGTTTTATATTATTTTCCAGTTAAATTTAAAATCGTTCTTCTGACATCTCCGAAGTACTTCTATCATGAATGTAATCTTTTTGAAAACTTCCATTGAAATATCCATTGATTCCTGATTTACTTAATGCATCATGAAGAAACATGTATTCATTTGATTCGATTGATTTTAAATGAGCATATAAACCATAATGATTTATACTTTTCTTTGGTCCCCAATCGTATCGAGGTAAATTATTTTGTGTAAATGCTTCTATATATCGTGGTTTTTCGAAATATTTATTATCATACTGAGAAACATTTTCAGTTGATGAATCAATTGTTTGAATCTATTTTATTTTATCAAATCAATAATTATAAGAGAATATTCAAAAAACAAAATGAAAACTTACAATTTCTTTTCGACCAAGAGCAAAATATTCTCGAATATAATTAACAATAAAAACCAACGGAATAGGTATTATACAAGCAATAAATATACACCAACCAACTATTACACTCCAATCAGGATATTCATATGCTTCATAACCAGCACTAGCACTATGTGACATTCGTTTAGTATTCACCAAATTTGAGAATGTTATTATCTTAATAAAACAAATTTTATTTTATTCAACACAGAAAAAAAAATGTTTTTTTTTTTAAAGTCTACAACTAACCAACATAATGACTGGAGCTATGATACACCATGTTAAAAATAAATAATACTCAGCTGCACGTTTTCCTAACATCATTTTAACATCATTCATAAATCGATTAAAACCTTTAAAGAGAAAAAAAAATTCTTTATAAAAAAAAAAAAGAAAAGAATCACAATTAAAACAAACCATAGATATAAGCAATTGTATATACTTCAAAAAAGCCAACAACAATCATTGATATATTTGCTCCATATTGATTTAATAATTCAAATAAATAAATTCCACCCTATAGATTAAAATATAGTTCAATATAAAAAAAAGAGACTAAAAATACAAACTGGACAAGTAAATGGTAAACTTATTAAAAATGAAATAGTACAAGTTATTATCACTGTTAATTGTCTATTCGATTTAAATCTTGGAAATAATTCCAATATTGATGTTATTGGAACATCAGTTAAAGCAAACTAATCATAAATC